GATATAACAATCTGATTGTTTTTTAATTAAAGCCTGTCTTTTTCTACTCCAGGAAGAGTGGAGTCTGGATCCACCCTGTTGGTGTTAAGTTGTCTCTTGTGATTTCATTATTTATTTATTTATTTATTTATTTATTTAAATCAATGTTGATATCATTTTGTTATCTCTCACTAGGGGTGAATTATGAGAAATTATATCTTTATTCATTCATTTTTTGTTCAAATCTATGATTAAGAACTCAATGTCTCTTCAGTATTGAGCAATCATTTAGGCTTCATGCATAAAACACCATCCACCTGTTTAATGTTTATTTATTTAATTATGAAAATCTGTCATTATGTATTCAGTGATCACTGGAGTTTTGAGCCTCCTTAGGCAAGACCATTGTACCAGACCATCACGTCATCTCATACTACACTTGCTTCTTTAACTGTTAAACTAGAGAATTAAGTAATAATTCATCATTTAATTTAAATATTTAAAATACAGGTAATGTTATGGACCATAAGTTCATTTTGAAGTTAGATTTTGGGAGTTAATGATGTAATATCATCTCATTACTTCACCATTTAGCTATGTAAATAGACCTTACATCAGCAATAGTTTTAGGACTTTGGTGCCATCTCGTCAGTGTTACTATAAAAGGCCCACTAATTAATTATCAATTTAATTTTCTAAAAACATCATTGTTCCAGGAAGAGATCAGTCTGACTACTCCATGTGGGATTTAAGTATGCACCACCATGTCATTATTCAATCATTTTTCATTATATAATAATTATTTAAATCGATGAAGATGTTGTTCTTCTTGACTGGAGTCGGGCCATTCCTCCATGGGAGTTAATCACGTGGCATTATTTAATTATCTAAGTACTACTTCTTAGACAATCACTGGAGTTTGGGTCCATCTTTTGAAAGTTAAATATGGAGGATTACCCAATTATTAAGTTATTTGATTGCGTAAGTAATGATGGTGTCATCCGTCATTTGGCTGCTGTGGGATTGACACAGCCGGATATCCGTACCAGAAGCAGTGCCCAGAGAATGGGGGACACTGCCTTATAAAGTGATTACTGATTACATAATAGTAGATTTTTAACAATCGAATGATTAGACTATTTAAAAAAAAACTGTACTGTTTCCCATGATCTGGTTCTGAGAGGTTGCAACAGAACTGACCCATGAAGGACACAGTGACCACTGATTTTAAAAATGGAATAACTGAATAATCTCATGATCAGGGAATCTCATCTAAGGAACTCTGTCGGGCTGATGACATGACACACCACCAACAATAAATAACTCTAAATAACAATATTAGAAAGCGGGGTACATGATTTAATAGAGACCAGTCAATTGAGGAATCGAAAATGACTAAAAGAAACATAAGACAATGCTCAAAATCCTTAATCATCAGCCTAATGCAAATCTAAACAACTCTGAGAAACCATGGGATCAAGCTCCTCTAAAGGGAAGAGGATGAAGAGGAGTTTATTTTATTTTCAATAAAGGGAAAAGGATTATGGTAGAGGCGATTAATTGTGTTGTTTCCGTTCTAGAAATTAGAAAACTGAAGCATAGAAAACAGGTTTAAAATACTCATCATTGTACTGGAATAGCACAATGATGCTTTCTTTTTCATGCTTATGTCACTATATGCAAGTTGTAGCTTGAGAGACTGGTAAATATGTAGAACTCAAAAGAAAGAGCCTTGCTTTGTTTTTGTGAGTCACTCAGTGAGGCTGTAAGGTTAGTTCATTGGGGGTATACACCTTTTACCATAGGGGAGGGGCACTAGAAAGTGGCAGAATGTTGGTTCATAAATGTTGCCTGGCAACCTTGCTTGCATTCTGTATCCTGGTATCATGGGCCAAGGACCAGAGAGCAGCTTCGAGAAAGTGTTATCATGGGACATTACAGTCTCCCAAGATAGCTATCTCCTAAAACTTTTAATGACAGCATGTGACTCGCCTAAATAAGTCATAGCCACACCTCTGGAAGTGTGCCTACAGCTTTTACTGGTTACCAAATTCAAGATTACCTAATCATCAGAGAACGTAGTCTGTGGAGAAACAGTTCAAAGGCTTCTGTTTATGAATACTCTGTCCCCTAAGAAGTCAAACTACCAAACAAAAGATAATAAGACTCACAATTATTCACCAAAAGGTGAGTTTGCCATTGGTGACTACCTTCAGGAAGGTGATAATCCATTTGTTAGAGTAGACTTAGTGATTATTGGATTTCAGTCCATCTCTTTTGAGGCAGCCACCCAACATTAAATATGTGATATCATCTAAAAACCCTGCATACACAATGACAGTTCAGCATTTCAACATGTTACTACTCTGCTCTGCGATTAAATAAGGGATGAACCTGGGAGTTTCCCACAATCATGTGGGAGTCAACTGAGAGTCAATTGTGTGGAGTATGGCAGACCATTTCATCCTCTGATTATGTTGTTATTTGATTATTAAAATAGGACATTAGATAATCCATGATCAGTGGATTGTGGTGACGTGTTGTGGGAGGCAATTATTATAGACCATCTTAATATGAATTATGTAGTTAAAATATTTAAATTAATCACGACAGCATCGTTCATGAGCCTGGTTTGGAGCCACCATAGCGAAGTGGATGATGTTATATAAAGTCATTATTTGATTATTTAATTATATAAAACAATGATTATATCATCCATGACACCTGGAATCTGGTGCCACAGATCATCTAATTACATAATTAATGAATTTAAATTGACAATCTGTGTTAGTCCCCAAGATAATGTAAATATTTGTATGGTTATGTAAACAATAATCCTCCATTCCATGAAGAGACCTGTAATGCTCCCTCTTGTGGAGATAATGTGCAATATCTTCACATTTTATGATTCATTGACTCAATTGATGATGATGACATCCTTCATGACTGGATTCTGGCCATGCTTCCCTGCCAGTAAAATGCTACATCCCCTATTTTTTGTGACAGTTAGCTATTACTGACTTATTTAATTCTTTAAATTATGTAAAGGACAGACAGTGCCATCACCGATTACGGTTAGGGTGCAAATATCTGTCAGGGACAAGGTTAGGAAAGTTGTAGACACGGCCAGAGCATTTTGTGAATGATCTCTGCATCTCCCAGTGTACGAGGGATGCTGGATGATTGAGTCCAGAAGGTTGCACAGTGCCAACAGAGAAGTACAAGGACTTCACCAAGGCCGGCACGGTGGTCTGGGTGTTGACTACCTGCTTTTCCTCCATATCTTCACATAGGTTGTGATCTACCATGAGTAGAAGGAGTGGCACTAGGAGGTCGGCACCATCACTGAGACCTGGCAAAAAGATGACGACTCAGAACACGGAAGAACATCTCTCTCTCTCTCAGATATGCTGGTTTTGCCCCAGATTTTGCCATCTTTTCAGCTGATACAAACATCTTGGTTACTACTTCTAAGCCAGGAATGGGCCCATTATCTCAGATCCTGCAGCACCACAACAGAGATTCAGGTGCTGGTGATGATGTCAGGCCAACAGAATTGATCATGCAAGACAGTGTGTTTATCTGACGATTAACTTATGGCATTTTAAAAATCCTTGATGATAGCATACATTTCCATATCTCTCAAGTCTGCCCAGGATTTGAAAATACAAAAAAAGGTCAACAACTTATATATTTAAACATGTAATTATTAAATTGTTTCATTATAAAATCTGTGATCCCTGAAGTTTGTTGCCACCTTGTGTGCCTCAAGTGTTACAGACGATGTAACTATCTGATTATTTCATTATACAAATCTGTCTTTTTCTACTCCAGGAAGAGTGGAGTCTGGATCCACATTGTTGGTTTTAAATTGTCTCTTTTGTTTACTTTCTTTCTTTCTTTAATTCAATGTTGATATCGATTTGTTATCTCTCTAGGGGTTAATTATGAGAAATTATCTCCTTATTCATTCATTTTTGTTCATATCTATGATTAATAACTCAATGACCCTTCAGTATTGAGCAATCATTTAGGCTTCACGAAGAAAACACCATTCACTGGTTTAAAATTTATTCATTTAATTATGAAAATCTGTCATTATGTATTCAGTGATCACTGGAGTTTTGAGCCTCCTTAGGGGAGACCGTTGTACCAGGATGTAGGGAGCCACTGGTGGCATTCCCGAAGATGGCACCGGTTTCCTGTCCATAAGCCAGCAAGGCGTGGATGTGCGATCCAGGAGTCATGGGGTGACCGTTACGACCATTGTGGGCTGCACCTGTCAGTAATGGACACAGCTCTGCTGCAACTGTCAGGAACGGACACAGCTCCTCTATATAAGCAGAGCCCTTTTTCCTCCTCGGGGTCTTCCCTCAACTTTCTGTTATGAGCCACGCATTAAGCATAGCTGCAGAAGAATCCTGTTGTTGAGCATCGTTCTTGCAGGCAAGGTGATAGCGCTTGACAAGTGGTGCCAAAACCTGGGAAACTGACATAAACGGCACACGGGGGACCCTCAGGAGACTGGAGAGGATTCAGAACTGTGGCACAAAGGTAACAAATAAGGTGAGTTCTTATAGTCATGCTACTGTTTGGGCTTGATACTGCCGTTGAAGGGTTGATTATTGTGCGTTTGGTTGCCTGCTTGTTTTTACTGTATGTGTTTTGTCTTGGGGAAGCACACGATAGGCAACTAAAAGCAGGCACTAGACCATTATCAGATTTTCAAGAAAGCATGTCAGAAGCAGAAAATGAAGAAAAGATGGGTGCACGTAAAAAGAAAAAACATAATAAAGAGAAAGTGAAAGGGCCCTGCGAGATCCATCTCACAGAGGAAAGAAAAAACATCTTTATCCTTTTGAGGAATTGGAGGCTTTGGAGCTTTCCAGTCACCCCTCAGAAGAGGAACTATCGCCCTCTGAGGAGGAAGATTTGGAGGAGGAGGCTGCACGAGTCCCTACTGCGCCTCCTCCTTATGCAGAGAAGTGATGTAAATACTCCTTTTGCTCACCTGAAACTAGACATGAGATAACCCAGATGTTTCCTGTGTTCGAGGAAGATGGGAATCATACCCATCACCCTCTTGAGCATAAACAGGTTAAAGAATTGGGAGAGTCTGTTCGCACTTATGGTATCAGCGCGAACTACACTCTGTTGCAAATAGAAAGACTGTCCGCAGTGGCCATGACTCCCTCGGACTGGATGTTCGTTGTGAAGGCTTGTCTCACTATGGGACAATACTTAGAGTGGAAGGCCATATGGCATGATTTGAGTCAATCACATGCCCGCGCTAACGCGGCAGAGGGGCAGCCTGCTTGGACATTTGAAATGCTCACTGGACAAGGACAATGGACAAATAATCAGGCAGTGTATCCTTTAGAGGTCTATGTTCAGATTAACTCATGTGCTGTTAAGGCCTGGAAGGCACTACCTAATAGAGAGGAAGTATCAGGGAACCTTACAAAAGTCATTCAGGGACCAAATGAACCATTTTCAGACTTTGTAGCACGTATGATGGAAGGATTTTTGGAGATCAAGAACAGGCTATGCCCTTAATAGAACAACTAGTTCATGAACAATCCACCAAGGAATGTAGACAAGCCATAACTCCTTGGAAAAGAAAAGGCTTACAAGCTTGGCTTAAGGCTTGTAGAGAAATAGGAGGTCCTTTGACCAATGCAGGGCTGGCGGCCACCATTTTACAAGGACAAAGAAAGGGCAATATGGCAGACAAGAATAAGAATTGTTTTCAATGTGGCAAAATGGGACATATACAAAAGAATTGTAGGGAATGCATGTCAGGACCTAAGAGGATGCCAGAAATCTGTCCCCGATGTAAAAAAAGGCAAACACTGGGCAAATTAATGTAAGTCAGTCAAAGACATTAATGGTAAACCGTTGCCTGAGCCAAAAAATGCCCTGCGGGGCCCCCACCCTCAGGGCCCTCAAATATATGGGGCAACGAGCTCCCCCCTGAGCCTAGAAAGGAGGAAGCCCCACGGAGAGCCACTGCAGGTTCTGCAGGATTGGACCTCTATGCCACCACTAGAATTGTCTTGACCCCCCAAATGGGTGTACAACCTGTTCCTTCTGAATTTTCAGGCCCTCTGCCAAAAATCACTATTACTAGGAAGGTCATCTACCACCCTAAAAGGTTTAATTGTCCATCCTGGAGTTATAGATCAAGATTATGAGGGACAACTCAAGATCATGTGCTAATCGCCACGTGGGATCTTTCCCATCTCCGCGGGTGATCACATAGCACAGTTACTAATTCTTCCTAGTTGTCATGAGGATTTTGGGGCCATTAGATGAAACAGTGGGGCAGAAAACAGTGGGGCAGAAGGATTTGGCCACTCAGATAAATTGGATTCTGCTTATCTTGCAGTTGATCTTGATACCAGAACAACATTAACATTAAATACAGAAGGAAAGAATTTTCAGGGAATTTTGAACACAGGAGCTGATAAAAGCATCATTGCCACCTCCTGGTGGCCTTCAAAATGGCCAATAACTCAATCAGAACATTCATTGCAGGGACTAGGATATGAAGCCATTCCTGCTGTCAGCTCTAAATCCCTAAGATGGATGGCACCAGAAGGTCACTCAGGGTTGTTTACTCCCTATGTTCTTCCCTTGCCGGTAAATCTATGGGGAAAAGATATTTTTAAAGTATTAGGATTAAAATTAATGAATGAATATTCCATCTCTGCACAAAATATGATGTTAGATAAGGGATATATACCAGGGCTAGGGATAGGAAAGCAGTACCAAGGCATTAAAGAACCTGTTCAAGTCATTTCAAAAAATGATCGTGCAGGATTGGGTTTTTCCTAGGGGCCATTGGGGAAGGGATGCCCATACCATGGATAACTGAAGCGGCAATATGGGTACCTCAATGGCCACTTTCACAGGAGAAATTAGAGGCCGCTTATCAATTAGTAAAAAGAGCAATTAGATTTGGGACATTTGGAAGGATCCAACTCTCCTTGGAATACTCCTATTTTTGTTATCAAGAAGAAATCTGGAAAATGGAGATTGCTTCATGACCTCAGAGCCATTAATGCACAAATGCAACTGTTTGGCCCAGTCCAACGGGGCCTTCCACTTTTATCAGCTTTACCTAAGCATTGGCAAGTTATTATAATAGATATTAAGGATTGTTTTTTTCTCTATTCCATTGTTTGAGCAAGATAGAGCTAGATTTGCCTTCACTTTACTGGCCATTAATCATGAGGGACCAGACGAGAGGTTTCAATGGAAGGTGTTGCCCCAAAGGATGGCCAATAGCCCCACTATGTGTCAACTTTATGTACAACAGGCATTAGCACCAGTTAAGGAAAAATATATTTCTCTAAGAATTATTCATTATATGGATGATATTCTTCTTTGTGGGAATAATGAGAAAGAGCTTGAAAAGGCTTATGCAGATTTGGTAAAATGGTTGGAGAAATATGGTCTGTGCATAGCTACAGAGAAAGTACAAAGGTCGGAAGTAGGACAGTTCTTAGGGGCTGTTGTGCGACCAGAGATTATACTACCTCAAAAGATGGAGATTAGAAGAGATCAACTTAAAACTTTGAATGATTTTCAAAAATTACTAGGAGATATTAATTGGCTACGGCCTTATTTAAAAATACCAACAGCAGAGTTAAAACCATTGTTTGATGTGCTTGAAGGGGATCCACAATTGACTTCCTTAAGAACCCTATCTGCTGCAGCTGCAGAAGCTCTTCATAAGGTGGAGCAGGCGATCACTGCAGCACAATTAGTTAGAATCTCAGCGCAGGAGCCTTTTGATCTTTGTGTGTTACAGACCGCTTTGCTGCCAACTGCAGTCTTATGGCAAAATGGTCCATTAATTTGGATACACCATCAAGTTTCCCCAGCAAAAACTATAGAATATTATGCAAAAATTGCCCTGAAGGGCTTAAATACAGCTCTTACCCATTTTGGGGAGTTTCCTAAGCAAATTATTACACCTTATAATATGGAACAAATTCAGACCCTATGTGCTATGAGTGATGATTGGGCAATTCTTGCATCTACCTTCTTGGGAACTTTTGATAACCATTATCTCAAATATCCCTTATTAACATTTGCTAGAACACATCCTTTGATTTTTCCAAAAATGGTAAGTGCCACGCCTCTCCCTGATGGGGAGATAGTGTATAAAGATGGATCAAAAACAGGAATAGGGGCTTATGTACATGAAGGAGTTGTTACCACTCACAGATATGCACCAGACTCCCCACAAATGGTGGAATGTAACATAGTTTTGGAGGTATTAAAGGTGTTTCCTGGACCTTTGAGTGTTGTCTCTGACTGGGTTTATGTAGTCAATGCTGTTAAAACCTTAGAATTAGCTGGATTAATTAAGCCTTCTAGTACAGTGGATGAGATGTTTAAGGAGATCCAAAAATGTTTATTAGCAAGACAATATCCTGTTTTCATTACCCACATCTGTGCCCATTCAAGTCTGCCTGGGCCAATGGCACAAGGGAATAAACTGGCAGATTTGGCCACTCGAGCAGCAGCTTTTGCTATTTTAGATCCTATAGAAGCAGCCACTAAATTTCATTCATTATTTCATGTAACATCAGAAACCCTGCACAAGCGTTTTTCTATTTCCAGAGCATCAGCATGGGAAATAGTCTTGCAATGCAAAAATTGTTCTGAATTTCTTCCAGTACCTCATGTGGGCATTAACCCACGAGTCCTTCGGCCTCTACAGATATGGCAAATGGATGTCACTCATGTGTCATCTTTTGGAAAAATGAAATATTTACATGTTTCTGTGGAAACCTGCTCGGGTATTATCCATGCCTCCCCACTAACAGGGGAAAAGGCGTCTCATGTCATCCAGCACTGTCTCGAAGCCTGGAGTGCTTGGGGCATGCCTCAAATATTGAAGACAGATAATGGACCTGCATATACTTCTGAAAAATTTAAGCATTTCGTCAACAGATGGGTATCAAACACCTCACTGGTCTACCTTATAATCCACAAGGGCAAGGCATTGTGGAACACGTCAATCGGACGCTCAAATCTTATCTAATAAAACAAAAAAGGAGAATAGAGGAAATGCCCTCTCTCCCACCAAAAGCCGCCATATCTTTTTCACTCCTTACTTTAAGTTTTTTAAATTTGGATTTTAATGGTCATTCAGCGGCTGATAGACATGGCCTCTGGCCTATACCTCCAAAAGAACAAGTCAAATGGAAAGATGTACTCTCCGTACATGGAAAGGCCCAGATCCTATCTTAATACGATCCAGGGGAGCTGTTTGTGTTTTTCTACAGGACGGAGAAAATCCAATTTGTGTATCAGAGCGATTATCTCAGAGTGACAACCATCCCCCAAGAAGATGCTCCTGTGGCTCCTGTGGTTGATGATACTCCTTGTGAATCCTCCACGAATATCAGCAGAACCCAGATTGGGAATACTGTCCGTGTTTCCTAAACCAATGCCCAGTCATCATGATGCACGAGTAACCTTTCTAAACAACTTTTTCAGTATCTTTTAGGTGAACAGGAGAATTTGATAGCCTGATGGACCAATTCGAATGGCCATCATCCATGTGAATTCCACCCGTGTGGACGCCTCTCTATCAGAAGGATCGTTCTGCTGGATCTCCACCGCTTTTTCCCACTTTAAGGAATGGGCGGGTGTAATGGGGTTTGTCCTGCTTTTATGTGGTGGGGTGGTGCTCCTGCTCTGGTTGGTGTGTAAGCTACGTGCTCAACAGACACATGACAAAGTGGTTATCGCTCAAGCCCTAGCTGCTATGGAGATAGGTTCCTCTCCAACTATGTGGCTGAGCATGTTTAAAAATGGACATTGATGGTCCAATAGGACAGCCCTTGCACCCTGAGTCTTCTATGACATTGAACCAGATTAGGGTGTCCTTTTTTTTTTTTTTTTTTTTTTTTTTTTTTACCAGAAACAGCCCTAATGCTCTGCGGGGTTTTTTCCCATTGCACGCAGACAGGTGCTTCTTTAGTTTAGCCTAAATTCTTCACACTCAGGTTGTTTGGCTTAGCACTGCGCTCCGTGTTGACTCTAGATATGAGCAGCTCCGAGAAGGGGAAGTCTGGTTGCATGTGGGTTGGTGTCCAAGGCCCCACCTCCAGGGAAAAGATGCCGGATGGGTATGGCACTGACTTGGATGACTACCAGGATTCAGGGTCATTACAATGTCCATCTCATTACTGGAGATCAGACCACTACCCTTGACTGTTGCGTTTATAAAACAAAAAAGGGGGAGATGTAGAGAGCCACCAGTGCCATTCCCGAAGATGGCACCAGTTTCCTGTCCATAAGCCAGCAAGGCGCAGATGTGCGATCCAGGCATCATGGGGTGACCTTTATGAGCGTTGTGGGCTGCACCTGTCAGTAATGGACACAGCTCCTCTGCAACTGTCAGTAACAGACACAGCTCCTCTGCAACTGTCAGTAACAGACACAGCTACTCTATATAAGCAGAGCCCTTTTTCCTCCTCTGGGTCTTCCCTCAACTTGCTGTAATGAGTCGCACAATAAACATAGCTGCAGAAGAATCCTGTTGTTGAGAGTCGTTCTTGCAGGCAAGGCAATAGCGCTCGACACATTCATTCATTTTATTGTTCAAATCTATGATTAAGAACTCAATGACTCTTCAGTATTGATCAATCTTTAGGTTTCACGCATAAAACACCATCCACTAGTTTAATGTTTATTCATTTAATTATGTAAATCTGTCATTATGTATTCAGTGACCACTGAAGTTTTTAGCCTCCTTACGGGAGTCCATCGTACCAGAACATCGAATCATCTAATAGTACACTTACTTATTTACCTGTTAAACTAGGAAGTTAAATAATAATTCATCATTTAATTAACGTATTTGAAATACAGGTAATGTTATGGACCCTAAGTCCCTTTTGGAGACAGATTTTGTGAGTAGACGATGTAACATCATCTCATTACTTCATCATTTAGCTCTGAAAGTAGGTCATTACATCAGCGATAGTTTTAGAACTTTGGTGCCATCTCGTCAGTGTTAATGTAAAACACCACCTAAGTAATTATCAATTTAATTTTATAAATAAATCATTATTCCAGGAAGAGATCAGTCTGACTACTCCATGTGGGATTTAAGTATGCACCACCATGACATTATTCAATTATTTTTCATTATATATTAATTATTTGAATCGATGAAGATGTTGTTCTTCTTGACTGGAGTAGGGCCATTCCTCCATTGGAGTTAATCACGTGGCAGTATTTAATCATCTAAGTACTCCTTCCTTGACAATCACTGGAGTTTGGTTCCATCTTATGAAAGTAAAGTATGGTGGACCATCCCATTATTAACTTACTTGATTGCATAAGTAATGATGGTGTCATCCGTCATGTGGCTGCTGTGGGATTGACACAGCAGGATATCGGTACCAGAAGCAGTGCCCAGAGAATGGGGGACACTGCCTCATACAGTGATTACTGATTATGTAGTAGTACATTTTTAACGATCGAATGATTACACAATTTTAAAAAACTGTACTGTTTCGCATCATGAGTTTCTGCGAGGTTGCAACATAACTGACCCATGAAGGACACAGTGACCACCTATTTTAAAAATGGAATAACTGAATAATCTCCTGATCAGGGAATCTCATCTCATGAACTCTGTCGGGCTGATAACATGACACACCACCAACAATAAATAACTCTAAATAACCATCTTAGAAAGCGGGGTACAGGACTTAATAGAGAACAGTCAATTGAGGAATCCAAAATGACTGAAAAAACATAAGACACTGCTCAAAATCCTTAACCATCAGCCTAATGCAAATCTAAACAACTCTGAGAAACCATGGGATCAAGCTCCTCTAATGGTAAGAGGATGAAGAGGAGTTTATTTTATTTTCAATAAAGAGAAAAGGATTATGGTAGAGGCGATTAACTGTATTGTTTCCATTCTAGAAATTAGCAAATTGAAGAATTGAAAACAAGAGTAAAATACTCATCATTGTACTTGAATGGCACAATGATTCTTTCGTTTTCATGCTTATGTCACTATAGGCATGTTGTAGCTTGAGAGACGGGTAAATATGTAGAACTCAAAAGAAAGAGCCCTGCTTGGTATTTGTGAGAAACTCAGTGAGGCTGTAGGGTTAGTTCACCGGTGGGTATACTCCTTTTAGCCTGTGGGAGGGGCACTAGAATGTGACAGAATGTTGGTTCATAAATGTTGCCTGGCAACCCTCCTTGCATTCAGTATCCTGGTATCATGGGCCAAGGACGAGAGAGCAGCTTCGAGAAAGTGTTATCATGGGATATTACAGTCTGCCAAGATAACTATCTCCTAAACCTTTTCATGACAGCATTTGATTCGCCTAACCAAGTCAGAGCCACACCTCTGGAAGTGTGCCTACAGTTTTTCCTGGTTACCAAATTCAAGATTACCTAATAATCAGAGAACATAGTCTGTGGAGAATCAGTTCAGAGTCTTCTGTTTATGAATACTCTTTCTCCTCAGAAGTAAAACTATGGAGCAAAAGATAATAAGACTACGATTATTCATCAAACAGGTGAGTTTGACATTGTTGACTTCCTTCAGGAAGGTGATAATCTGTTTGTTAGAGTAGACTTAGCGATTATTAGATTTCAGTCCATCTCTTTTGAGGGAGCCGCCCACCATTAAATATGTGATATCATCTAAAAACCCTGCATACACAATGACAGTTCAGCATTTCAACATGTTACTACTCTGCTCTGCGATTAAATATTTGATGAACCTGGGAGTTTCCCACAATCATGTGGGAGGCAACTGATAGAAAATTGTGTGGAGAATGGCAGACCATTTCATCCTCTGATTATGTTGTTATTTGATTATTAAAATAGGACATTAGATAATCCATGATCAGTGGATTGTGGTTACGCGATGTGGGAGGCAAGTATCATAGATCATCTTAACATCAATGATGTTGTTAAAATATTTAAATTAATCAAGACAACATGGTTCATGAGCCTGGTTTGGAGCTACCTTAGGGAACTGGATGATGTTACATGAACTCATTATTTGATTATTTAATTAAATAAAACAATGGTTATATCGTCCATGACACCTGGAATCTGGTGCCACAGATCTTCAAATTACCTAATTAATGAATTTAAATTGACAATCTGTGTTAATCCCCAAGGTAATGTAAATATTTGTATAGTTATGTAAACAACAATTCTCCATTCCATGAAGAGAACTGTAAAGATCCCTCTTATGGAGATAATGTGCAATATCTTCACATTTTATGATTCATTGACTCAATTGATGATGATGACATCCTTCATGACTGGAGTCTGGCCATGCTTCCCTGCCAGTAGAATGCTATATCCCCTATTTATTGTGACAGTTAGGTATTAGTGACTTATTTAATTTTCTAAATTATGTAAACGACAGAGAGTGCCATCACCGATTAAGGTTAGGGTGCAAAAATCTGTCAGGGACAAGGTTAGGAAAGTTGTAGACATGGGCAGAGCATTTTCTGAATGATCTATGCATCCCCCAGAGTACGAGGGATGCTGGGTGATTGAATCCCGAAGGTTGCATGGTGCCCTCCGAGAAGTACAAGGACTTCACCAAGGCCAGCACAGTGGTCTGGGTGTTGACTACCTGCTGTTCCACCACATCTTCACATCGGTTGTGATCTACCATGAGTAGAAGGAGTGGCACTAGGTGGTCGGCACCATCACCGAGACCTGGCAAAAGGATGACGACTTAGAACACGGAAGAACCTCTCTCTCACAGCTATGCTGGTGATGCCCCTGCTGTAGCCATCTTTTCACCTGTTAGCAACATTGTGGCTACTACTGCTACGCCAGGATTGGTCCCATTATCTCATGTCCTGCCTCACCGCAAAGGAGATTCAGGCGCTTGTGATGATGTCAGGCCAACAGAATTCATCATGCAAGACAGTATGATTATCTGATGATTAACTGATGGCATTTTAAAAATGCATGATGACAGCCTACAGTTTCATACCTGGCAAGTCTGTCCAGGAATTGGTGATACAAAATAATAGTATCTTTTGAATTCTTTCTTTCTTTCTTTCCACAAGAGGAAGCTTTTCAGGTCTCTTCATGGAATGGAGGATTTTGGTTTACATAACTAAATATTTACATTATCTCGGGTATTAACACAGACTGTCCATTTAAATAAATTCATTATGTAATTAGATTATCTGTGGCACCAGATTCCTGGTGTCATGGATGATATAATCATTGTTTTATATAGTTAAATAATCTAACAATGAGTTCATGTAACATCATCCAATTCCTTAATGTGGCTCCAAACCTTGCTCTTGAACAAAGCTGTCGTGATTAATTTAAATATTTTAAGTACAAAATTGATATTTAGATGTTCCATAATAATAGTTTCCCACATCGTGGAATCCACTGATCATGTATTATCTAATGTCCTATTT